TTGGCATCCGTCGCCTTAGGGACATTGTTACAGCTTTCTCATACAAGCTGTGGTGGCGCTTCAGGGAAGGAAAGTTGCTTTGGGCTCAGTACCTTCGCGGCAAGTACTGCCCTAGACGTGCCAACCACCCTTGTTGGGTCACGGCTGTTGATCGTGATAGCAGACAGTGGCGGCGCCTCACTAGGGTCGGGAGGCGAGCCCAGGATCACATCTTTTGGGTTTTGGGCAGGGGCGATGTCAGTTTTTGGGATGAGTGGTGGGTAGGTGATAGGCCGTTGTCTAGGGATAGGCAGGTGTCGCACTCCCCCTACCTACTCGTGAGCGACCTCTGGACGGACGGGTCGTGGGATAGGGGGAAGCTTGATAGGGAGTTGGGGGCTGGTGCGGGTTTTAGCGAGCAGTTATTAGATCAGATCCAGCAGATCCCTATCTCGGGGGACGGTTCAGATAGCATGAGGTGGAGACTTACATCATCAGGTGTGTTTTCTACTACCTCGGCTTGGGAGCAGATAAGGCTGAGGGATCGGCCTAATCTCCTTTTCGGGGCTATCTGGAGTGACCTTTTTACGCCTACTATTTCGGTATTCCTTTGGCGCCTTCTCTTGCGCCGGATACCCGTCGATATTGTGCTACACGCGAGGGGGATCTCCTTTCCCTCTCGGTGTGTGTGTTGTTATGAGACTGGACGCCATGAGACTGAGACCTTTACCCACCTTTTTCTAGAGAGTGAGATTGTGAGGAGAGTGTTGGAGCATTTTGCCACTTGGACTCATATATCCCTACCCACCACATACAGTTTTTTTGAGCTCCTGAGTTTTTTCTCACAGAGCACACACCTTAGACACGTGGGCTTCCTCATTCCTTGTCTGATCCTTTGGTTCACCTGGACAGAGAGGAATAGTGCGAAGCATAGGGATACTACTTTTATGTTTTCTCACATTGTTTTGCAGGTTGAGAGACACATTTCACTCCTCATCTCATTAAGCAGGCTCACGGCCCGAGACTGGACAGGCTGCACGCCACCGCAGCGCTACATGGTGGCCTCACCACCGCCTGTTCGGACTCCCCGGGCCAGAGCTGTTGTTTGGCTTCGACCTGACTCTCCTTGGGTCAAGCTGAACACTGATGGCTCCTTCGATCGCCACACTGGAGTTGCCGGAGGAGGAGGCTTGATTCGGGACCATAGCGGCGCCCTCATCACCGCCTTTCACGCGTCCATTCAGGCCTCCTCGAGCTACGACGCAGAGATTCAGGCACTACAGATTGGCCTTCAGATAGCTGCCCACATCTCTAGTCATATATGGATCGAGCTGGATGCTGCGGCTGTCGCCACCCTCCTGACTTCGGGCCATCAGGGCTCGTGGCAGATTCAGCACCCGCTTATGCGCATCAGAGATCTACTTCGGTCAGTCCATCACAGGATTACGCATATTTTCCGTGAGGGGAACAGACCAGCTAACTACCTCGCCAGCCTTGGTGCCACCATACCCGATATACATACGTTCCAGACAGACACTGCTCCACTCCGCCTTCGCACGCTTGTTCGGATGGACCAGCTTGGATACCCATCCTTCCGCTTTCAGTAGATTAGGCTTTTATTGTCATTTGTTTAGATTCGCATTTTCATTTTTATTTTAGGGCACCTGTTAGCCCGTAGACAGACTCTGTATTTTATTTTATTTGTTTTGCTTGTGAGACCTTGTAGACTGTTGATATTTTTGGCCCCCGTTTTGGGGTCTTGATATATGTACAGGTTGGGGATCCAGCCCAATCCCCCGCCCCCCCGGGGCGTTGTTTGTTAAAAAAAAAAAAAAAAAAAAAAAAAGCAACATCAGACAACTAACCTAGCAACAGAAGACAACTAACCTAGCAGCAGAAGACAACTAACCTAGCAACATCAGACAACTAACATAGCAACAGAAGACAACTAACCTAGCAACATCAGACAACTAACATAGCAACAGAAGACAACTAACCTAGCAACAGAAGACAACTAACCTAGCAACAAAAGACAACTAACCTAGCA